CAGCAGGAAGGATCAAGTAATAACTGGGTCTGGCTGAAAAGGGATTACTCCGAATCCCAGGCCAACCAGAGAGTCTAATGGCCGGACGCATAGATCGACCGGGCACGAGGATGTGGGCTGGAATGGGCAAACCTTTATGATTTATCCCACTCTCTCATGGGAGGGAGGTAATTATGTAAATAGTTAGTATACATGGAAATGTCTACCTAACGAGACCACCTAGTTGAGCCGAGGCGGGGCAAGTGAGTTTATGTGCATATGTTCATGTGAAGCTGTGGCAGACGCGGTTTTGTAGCTCGGTCAGAACGGGAATAATGAGCCGCTTGAAGGTTGTGAAGGGAAGAGAGATTGGGCCATAATTTTGTTGTGGTTAGAGGATGAGGTAAAGAAAGGGGGAGAAGAGCAGAGGAGAGTAGAAGAGAGGCGAGGCGGAGCATGAGGGCTGGTTCAGACGTCATTTGTCTGGCGAATTGGTACGGCCGAAAGTGCACAAATCGCGAGGTGAAAAAGGGAACCCGAGAAAAGGATGGGTCCAAAGTGGGAGTGGGAGGCATTGGTGGTGTTTTTAGCCGAGGCGACAGTTTATCCCAGTCTCAGCAAAGTGTGCATTCTACTAAGACTTGACCGGCCCCAATAAAACAAGTATACTTTATCGCTGATATGCCAGAAGAAGAGGGCTTTAGGGGAGAACTGGGCCTTGAGATGACTTGATGTGTGTGTGTGTGTGTGTGTGTGTGTGTGTGTGTGTGTAGACTGCTCATAAAAAGCAGAAAAGGTACAAGGGGATAGGTGAAGCAGATAGGACGGCGGGCAAGAAAGCCTACTTACTTTACCATTAATTATCTCCCAGATGATAGTCTCTTCTACGGCCATACGGAATCTTCTCTTTCCAGCCCGTTACTATCCGATCTTCCAAGAATCTTTGCATGATGGACATGCGGCAACCCAATCCAAGCACGAGATTACCGCTGGAAAGTAGGAGGCAAATCCCTGGGAAAGTCGGTTTCAGTCAGCAACTACCGCTGATCTCTTTTCATTAAGGCCTCTGATAGTCCTGTTGCCTACAAAATATTCTAAAAAGCATGCATTTACTTCATCATTGGAGAGAATGTAATTAAAATGAAAGAGAGTCTGATGATGAAATTCGTCGGTTTATCTCACCAGAAGACAGCTTCAGGTTGCCGTTGTTCTGCAGTAATTTTTGCTGACGAGATATCCTTCCTCGTTTAGGGTCAAACGGGGCTAAGTTAATCCTAAAAGTTACCTCAACAATTACATGCTTACTCCAAACTTGGACCTTTTTCCAGATAGCCATCTTGGCTGCGTCAGCTCTTTATATAAAACTTTTGGACATTATGAGACCACATCAATAAAATTATCGTTGAACTACTTTTTGCGATAAGCTTAAATGCAACAACAAAGTGACGAAATTGATGTTGTGTTGGCAAAGGGGTCAAATCGAAAGGTATTTTGTCACCAAATTGGCAATATATGGACAACGCGACCTCTTGCAAGTGTTGAAAATTGTTTTTT